GGGAGAAGCAGGCTCCCCGCGGAGCAGGGAGCCCGATGCGGGGCTCGATCCCAGGACCCTGGGACCATGACCTGAGCCGAAGGCAGACGCTTAACCATCTGAGCCTCCCACACGCCCCGATAGCAGCTGTATTTTAGAACTGGAAGGATGACTTGGCTTAGCCGATCAAATGGGCAGGACCACTGCTCCAGTAAAGAGGCTGTCTTGGGCATTTTCCCCCTTTCCTGAGGAGTGTGGGTGGAGTGACTCATCCACAAAGACACTGTTACATTCTTGGACTAAGATACCCCACAGTCTGTTTTTCATATAGAGTGAATTGCTAACAAACAGGCATCTTGCCCCCCAAATATTGAAATGTTTAGAGAATGTGACTTAGTTGGACTTCCTGCTGAAATGAGGTTAATGCTTTCAATGTGAACACTTTCGAGAATATTGTAGCATAACTGTGGGTGTTGCTGAAGAAAACACAGTGGATTCACAGGCAAAGAGGCTGCGCCTCAGTGACATTGCTTCCCTGGTTAACAGCAGATCTAGCCAAAGGAGCTCGCTCACTATGTAGCCGGAGACAGAACTGTCCCCATAAGAACACAAAACGAACACAGAACACAGCACAGTAAACACTATTCAGCTTTTCTCTGATGAACCAAGATCGATAAATACCTACTGGGCAACATTCTACACATCAATTTTCCCTGTGTGTACCGACAGAGATAGTCTGCAGAGAATGGAATGAATATAAGCCGGTGTCTGGGCGTACTCTGAAAGTTTCTCTCTTTTTCTTTAAGTATGCGGTATTAGTTGTGTCATAAGCCTTTTGCTTTTGCTCCCACAAGCGGAGCATCCACCCCACAGAGGAGCTGGCCAAACAACTGTTACATATTAGAGAATAAAGTCCAAATTAAAAAAAAAAACAAAACCCTTTTGATCTGCCTCGACAGTTGTTCTAACAAGAGATAGTGTTAACATCGTAACCTGTTGGAGAGTCAAATCAGCTACAGCTCATACGGTTCTTAAAAAGACCAGTTTTGGCCACTGACACGAACCCATTAGGAGGACGGAACTCTCCTACGAGGCACAGAGGGGAACGTACTGTGTACACAATGACCTGAAAGTTAAATTATTTCAGTGAGGATAAATATTTGGTTCTTCTAGAGCTACCTTCACGTTGAATGTTATTTCCTCCATGACGTACACGCGCTCAGGAAATGCTTTGGCCACCTCCTCCACACTGTTGAAATATTGCACTGGCTCCTTTATATCTCGGTCTTGTTCCAGCAGCTTGAATTGCCCTAAAATACACGATAAACAGAAGAGATGTGAGACGTTTATGCTGGCCGGCTGTCACCGTGGCAACAGCATCCCCCTTTCCTTACGCCCACTCTTCTTTGTCAAAGGCTTCTGATCATTATCATTGGGGGAAAAAGTTACCACGGCAGAAGGTTTCCTTCAACTAGAATACATGTCGAAAAATCAGCTCACAGATGAAAACAAACACATGTTATTTTTTCTTTTTCATTTTTTGTTCACATCGAGAGTTTGTTACCCGATGACCAAAATCAAACCGAATGGACGCTTATCTGTAATTTGGTCTCAAAGTGAAAATCTACTCTGTTACAAATGATTGCTCATTTTGTGTTTCACAGGAATAACCTTGTCACTGAGTTGTAATTAACACCCACACACGTGATATTCTAAAACGAACGCTGAGCGACCTGGGGGAGCTAATTTTTTAAAAAATTAGTGTTTAAAAGTCTTGCAGGTAGGGTAAAATAATACAGTGGACCTTGGGCTCTCACAGAATTGATATCCTTGGTTTCAACAGTATGTGGGCGATGCCGAGGGCTCGTGAGCCGCGGTAATTTGTGGTGTTACTGCCGCACAAGTGTGAAGCATGAGCAGAGCGGCGCTGGGCCAGGGGGTGAGCCTCCATCCAACCAGTGAGCCTGGCGACAAGCCAGGTGGCATCTGGAGCCACATGTGGCTTCCTTCTTTCCTTTTTATTGCTCTGTATGAAGTTCATGAGAAGAATATACCATCATGGTATCCACAATTTGGGGGATTTGCAAAGAACTTTGAACGTATTCCTAAAAATTTCCAGGATCTATTGCTCTTTATATACTTTCAATATTGATGACACTTGTGCTCCATTCCGGAGTTGTTGTTTTCAGTTTAGAATAAAAGACCATATGTACTCAAGGCAAAGACATAGTGTTTCTTGGTAGTCATTTTTCTGAATGCTGTTTACAATCTAACACTTGAGAAACTTGAAAAGGAATTAAAAGCTATAATGAGGCAGATCTCTCAGCATGTGTCTGTGGGGCATCAGGAGGAAATAGGAGAACTTTCATTCATATTCTCAGGACTTTTTTTTAGCATCTATTAGGTGGAGGCGTTATCCTAGATGCTGGGGAGAAGTCAATAAATAGGCCAGATAAAAATCTCTATCCTCCTGAATCTTACATTGTAGCAGGAGACAATGATAAATACAATAAATGACTAGGGTATATAATAGGTCAGGGGGTGAGAAATATTGTTAATACGGCTGGGCAAGGGGGACAGAGAGTGCAGGGAGGTGTGTTCTCAGAATTCTAATCATAGGCAATAGTCTAGGCAAAGAGCTGTAGGTGGATGGGTAGCTGCCCACTTGGCATGCTACCAGTGTTGGCTGGAGTGGGGTAAGTAAAAGGTAAGAGGGAAGAGAAATAAAGTCTGAGAAATAATAGGTGGTCAGACTACGTACAGCTTTGAAGACTTGTAGCTCTTTATCTGAGAGCCACTGGGAGTATGCGTGAAGAAGTGATCTAACCAATGTTATAGAAGGACCACTCTGGTTGTTGTTTTGAGAACACACTGTGAAGGTGCAAGATGTAGGGGCAGAGAGCAGTGAGGAGGCTCCTGCAGTCAGCCAGGTGTGAGATGGCAGGGGTTTGGAAAAGGTGAGAAAGTGTTACGAATTTAGCCTGAGCAGCTGAAGGAAGCAGGTTTGGAGGGGTGGGGGTTGGATCAGTTCAGTCTGAGACGTCTACTAGGCATGCAATAAAGATATCCCAAAAGCTCTTAGATGAACATATACATGTGGAGCTCAGGGAGAAGTTGGGCTGAGATAATAAATCTAGGAGTCATCCGCACACAGACGATCTTTAAAGCCACGGCACTTACTGATGAGGAGCATGGGCTTCAGTGTAGACAGAGAAGAGGTCTAAGGTTTGAGTTCCAGGAGACTTAGAAGGACTGGCTGGAGGGGGGGTGGTAGTGAGAGGCAAATCCAGAAGGGGTGCATTCTAGAAGCCAGTGATTCGAGCACTTCAAGGAGCTCTGAAATGAGAGCTGACAACTGTCGGGTTTAGCAACTTGTATTTAAGTGGGGACTTCGACAGGAGCAGTGGAACAGTTGGGGTCAAGCCTGACTGAGCTGGATTTAGGAGAGACTGAGAAGGGAGGAGTGGGAGTAAGAGGAATGGACAGCAGGTGACATTTGGGGAGTTTGGCTACGAAGGGGAGAAGAGACACGGCGTGGTAGCTGAGGGAGCACATGGAATAGGATCGAGGGAGTGTTTCTGGTTTCCTTAATATGGTGGATGCTGATGGGAATAACCAACGGAGGGACAAGCCTAGGAGGATGGAATTATTGGAGCATGTCCCTGGGTAGGCAGAGGTGACAGGGGAGTGGAGGGGCTGGTCCTCAGCAGGAGCTCCCGTGTGACAGCTCAGTGGGAGCCGGTGGGAGCTCCCTCTTATTGCTTCAATATTTCCAGCAAAAGTTGGAAGAAAGGCATCCACTGAGAGTACGATTGAGGAATGAGCTGTGGGAGGGCTAAGGAAAGAGGAGAAGACCGTAAAAAGTCCACTGAGAGTGAATGACACATCATGACTGCTGGACAGCCCTAAGTTCCCACTTGAGTTTCACGGTCATGAATTAAAAGTGAAACCGAACAGTACAGTTCTGCATTTTTCTCCAGCCAAAGTGCGACGCATAGGGGCTGGCACCAAGTGGGCAGAGATCTGGATTCAGCCAGGATTGTAAAACTGCCAAGTGAGGATGAGACATGAAGGAGGGCAGAGGAGCCAGGATATATGCAAGGGAGCGAATATAATGTCTGTCCGGGGAGCCTGAGCTGGACCCAACAGCTTGGGAGGGAGGAATGAGGGTGAAAAGTAGTGGAATCGATGGATAGTGGGTTCTGATGGAGTCGAATTTCTGAAGCGAGGGAGCTCAAGAGCCTAGCAGAGGAGTGGTCAGTGAGGAAGGCATGCACTTTGAGATAATGGAAGCATGCAGTGGTTGGTGATGACGCAGTCTAGGGGGCAACTGTGGGAGGTAAAGGTTGAGGTGACGAGAAGCTAGAGAATCTAAGAGGCCAGGGGGTATTAGAAGGATCGCATATCTATGCATTGAAATCCCCAAGAATGAAGAGAGAAGGAATGCTGGAAAGAAAGGCAGTGAGCCAGGAGTGAAAATTATGGAGAAATGGGGGAGGGATCCTAGATCAGGAGCAACGATGGGGTAGCGGGCGAGAGTCTGAGGACACGAGATTAAAGCTGAGAGTTTCTAGGGAGGGGAGAAGTGGAATGGTCAAGGGAGCACTGAAGAACCCAGCTCTTCAACTTTGGGGCAAAAAATGGAGCGGCCATCTGAGAGGGCTTCAGGGAAGTGGTGTTTTCAGGGCATACCCAGGTTAGGGTTTAACAAGATAAAAGTAATTTCAGAGAAGAGTTTAAGGACATAGGGATTTTGTTGGTGATGGACCCTGAAGGGAGAGTTTTCAGGAGTTAAGGGGAGGGCGATGAGGACAACGTAGAGAATGCAGCCAGATACGATGTAACAGGTCATATACGTTTAGAGATATGGAGGGGTATGAATAAAACATTCGCAAATATAGTCAAAATACGTTAGATTATACTCTTTTCACAAAAAAACAACAGAATTTTTAAAAATTTTAAGAAATTATAGCAATATCAGTACTGCTTAAACAGATTCTGCCACAATAATAAATCAAGCTTTCATTGTCTTTATTCTACTTAGTCCTTGTACAAATTCTTAATAATTATGGAGTATCTCCAGTTTCATCTCCGTTCCTCCCCATATTTTCCGATGTTCCCCCCACACGACTACACTTAGAAAGTTTGCATCACATTTCATAATTGGATTTAACTATTTTTCTGTTCTTACACAATGAATCTGAGTTAGGCTAGTAAGTGCAAACTCTGCCACTGACACATGACTAATCCATCTGAGCTTTGTTTCCTCACCCGTAAAGTGGGGACACTTCAAAGGGCTGCAGCAAGGCTTGGATGAGAGGATTTTCAGTACTTAGTACAACTAACCATTTAGCAACCCTCAGCTCCCTTTCCTGTTCTCAAGATGCACAGAGATTTTCTCTTCTCTTTTTTGGCTTGCTTTTGTGGGATAAATTTTCTAGTGCAGGATTACTAAAGCAAAGGGCATCACACAATTCTTTTTGTCTAACATGCCTGGCTATCCTGCTTTCCAAAATACGTAGACTAATTTCTATTTCCACCAGTAGCCAATTTATATTTCTTCCATGTGCATCTTAGTTGGACCACAATCTTGCCAGCAGTGAGTGTTTTTTTTTTTCTTAAAGATTTATTTATTTTTTTGAGAGAGAGAGAGAGTGCGCACACGCACACACGAGTGAGTGCAGGGAGGAGCAGAGGGAGAGGGAGAGAGAAACTTTAGCAGTCTTCTCTCTGAGCTTGGAGCCCAAAGTGGGGCTTGATCTCATGACCCTAAGGTCATGACCTGAGCCGAAAGCAAGAGTCAGACACTTAACCAACTGCGCCACCCAGGTGCCCCTGCAGTAAGTATTCTTAAGTTAGATAATTCACTGGGTACTAAAAAAGCATCTCTTGCCTGTAATCTGCATTTCTTTGAAGATCGGCAAAGCTAAACGGTTGGATTTTTCTTGTGCAAATGGCTGTGTATATATATATATATAATAAACATATCTGATGTCTAAATTTCTTCTAACTTCTAGAGACATATATCTAAGAGTCTATTGGATATTTATACTTGTGAGTCTCATTAGCACCAAATTCAACATGTCTCAACCTCACATGCAATAGGTACTTAATAAACGTTCACTGAACAAAAGACAGAAAATGACTTTGGTCTGTCCCAGGACTAGCAAACAATGAAGCAACACATTAGTAACTGCAGGTTTTCAAAATTATACATAAAAGGTGAACTGCATGACTATATACAAGGTTTGCCTGTTTCTGAACATTAGCTGAATGTTTTCATTCATCAGAGAAAGAAAGCAATGGTGTG